TTCTCCTGCCTCAGCCTCCTGAGTAGCAGGAATTACAAGAACGCGCCACCCATGCCCAGCTAATTTTTGTATTTTTAGTAGAGATGGGGTTTCACCATGTTGGCCAGGATGGTCTCGATCTCTTGACTTTGTGCCCCTCCTGCCTGCCTTGGCCTCCCAAAGAGCTGGGTTTACAGGCGTGAGCCACCGCACCTGGCCTGTTCATTATTATATTTATATAGTTTCAAAGCACCTCCAAACAAAATGCATATTAGTTGCAAAGGGAAAAGCAGTAATTTACAATAAATAAGCCCAGCAGACACCACATTAACAATGTCATTGTTATCCACTCAATGAATGAATCTAGAGAATATGTGTACATGTGCACATACACACACACATACACACATTTACATCCATCTGCCCACCACTCAATCTAGAAAACCACTTTTTTACACTGATACTTCCAATTCTATTCCAACATGACAGGATTCAGTCTAGCTTTTCTCCCTTTTTATATTTTCAACCACCTCCTCCAAAAGTGAGAAATCTGGCTTCATCGATCTTTAATGTATCGATTTTTTCAATTGCCCTGTTTGTGACCAATCTGCTGCCCCCTACCCCATGCAGATAACCTCCTGAACCCACTTGGATTTGGTTTAGGCATCCCCTAACCCACCTTCCCTCTCATAATCAGCCTATGTAGGTGCCCTTTTTCTCAGATTCCAATGCCCTGTAACAGGTTAATCTGTGTGGACACCAGCTCAGACTTAGTGAATGCAGACCAAACCTCTGCTGCAGGACCCTCACCACGCCCCCAGCTGCAGCCCCCATGTCTACTTTGTCCTGGTTCCAACACTGTGTGCCAGTCATTTTTAGTCTCCAAATAGTGTAATTTGGGATAGAAAATTGTCTTAGTACAACCTAGAAAAAGAGCCTGAAATGAGGATCTTTATGCAGGAGAAATCTATAGAAGACCCAGAACCTCCTGCCCGCATGTCTTAAGCTTCTACCATGCCGTTGTGGTCATGGTCCTGGTGACTAGCCAAACACAATTAAGGCCTGAGAGTAACAAAAGATGGCCCACATCCACCAAAATGCTGCACGAATTCCTGCTTGCTCCCATCACGTGCCAGCACTCTTATCTCCTTATGATGGCCAGGGTCAGGTTCTCCTGCCAGTGTGGAAACTCCTTTCTTTGCCCACTGATCTAATGCAAGAAGTGATCAGGTGACAAGGAAAGCTTTAGGTTGGTGTGACTTTTACTGGAGGTGATGGTGAATGGGGCATTTCTAGTTCTAGCCCTTGGCTACTAGATCCATATAGTCTAGCTATTGGGGACATAAAACTGATAAAAGAGCCATTGGTAAAAATTCAGTGCTGCATCCTAAAGAATTGCTCCTTATCTTCAAAGCGGTGTCTTTAAGAGGTCATTCTAACTATTTGTCACGCCAGTAGCTTCTTGATTGTGTAGTATTGGTATGACCAGTAGATTCTACAGTCATGTGCCCATAGTTACATCTTTTTTGCCATTAAGTAGGTCTCTTAATCCAAATTAATGTCATGCAGTGATGAATCAGACAGTGGGGCTGGCTGAGGCACTATATGAGCAATAAAGGTGAGCTCATCTCTAGAAGACACATCACTTCTGGTCAAGATAAGTGATTGCTCCTTCCAGGATGTGGGGGTCCATCTTAGAACGCATTGCTGCTGGTCTTGCCTTGGGAACTTAGTAAACTCTTAGGCACTTCCAAGCAAAGTGGCTTCAATTGCCCAAGGGCTGACGGTAATGCTCCAGGAAAAGTTGCAGTGTGAACTGTTGTCAGGAACACCTACAGCCTCCAGTAAAAGGGATTTCCAAGCATTTGGCCTTTTTAGTTCTTCATACCACCGCAGGAAGAATAGGGATAATATTCTCTGATGGCCAGAGAGGCCAGCCTGGTAAAGCAATTGAGTGAAGCATGCCAAGTTGGCCAGCTTGAGAGCTAACGCCCAGCCTAAGGGAAGTACCAATTTGTTATTGCCAGCATTGTCGGCTCTTACAATTTCTCATGAGAATCTGACAATCTAGATTTATTTTCATGTAAATTGTCTTAATTTTTAAAACACTGACTATTATATTATCAGTTTTTTAAAGCAGAAAACAGATGAAATTCCCAAATTAAGATAGATGGAGGAGGGAGGATGGCAGAGAGCGGAGCTGCAGGAGCAAATGGAAGATAACCCAGCACAATGACCGGTTCAGAGTTTTCAAAAACACTCTGGGCCAGTAGTGTGCAGGCATTATATTAGTCTGCTTGGGCTGCCATAATAAAATATCATAGACTGGGGGCTTAAACAGCAGAGATTTATTTTCTCCCAGTTCTAGGGGCTGGAAGTTCAAGGTCAGGTTCCAACATGATCAGTTTCTGGTGAGAGCTTCTTTCCTGGCTTATAGACAGCTGCCCTATTGCTGTATATTCATGTGGCCTTGGCTCAGTGCATGCACATGGAGAGGAGAGAGAACTCTCTGGCATCTTTTCTTATAAGAATACTAGTCTTACCAGATCAGGGCCCTACCATTATGACCTCGTTTCATCTCAGTTACTTCCTTAGAAGCCCCATCTCCAAATACAGTCATAGGAAGGTAAGGGCTTCAACATATGAATTCTGGGAGGACATAAACACCCAGTCCCCTGCAGGCATCAAATAAAAAACCTTAGATAAAACAAAGGAGGCATGTCCCACAACTAGCATTAAAACACCGGTGTTTGACCTCTGATACAAACAGCAACTAACTGACTGTGTATAAGGTTGGCCCTATATAAATGTGCTGTACTTCTGTGTCCCAAACTGTGAGTCAGTTAGATAGTATTTGGATCACAATATTTGATTTACTGTTTAATTGATTACCCTGAGTTTTTACCGGTAAAAAGGAATAATGAGAAATCTGGGAAAATTATAGAACTGGAAAATATGTTGCTAAGATTTTCACTTGAGATGAATTGTCTGGTTCAACAAGTATTGACCTAGTAATTGTTCTTTTTGATTTCACATGGAGCTATGTAGTTTAAAGGATTATGCAGAGGAGCAGAAAACTAAAAACAATGTAGAATTGAGAATGAAAATTAGGCACACTGTCACTCTTAGTGTCAGAGTAAATTTACATGTCCCAGCTGATCATGAATTTTAATAGAACCTTCCATCAGAAACCAAAAGGGGGCTCAAGGAACTTAAGATCATATTCCTCTGGCAACCAAAGTAATTGCTCTATATCTGTATAGAGCAATTGTAGAAAGTAAAAAGTTCCTCTTCAAAGTTTTGTAGAAAGTAAAAAGATCTGTAGAAAGTAAAAAATTCCTCTGTATTGTATTGAAGAAAGTATTGTAGAAAGTTCCTCTTCAAAGTTTCCCTTCTTGTTAAGTAATAATAATAATAAATGTTAGAAATAATAGTTTGTTTTAAAGATTAACTTTCTTAAAGCCATCTTGCTTTTTGCTTACAACTCTTTGTTAAGCCCTATTTTAGGTAGCTGTTAGACATGCTCACAAGCACATATGTTCTTGTACTTTAACCAAGATATCTGTGCTGGACGTGCTCACAGGCATGTCCCAGCTCTCAGCCTGTGCTCCTTCCTTATTTAGACTTCCTCTTTTTTTTGTTCTCCATTGCTTTTACCTATTTAGAGAAGTTTTAAGTTGTTAGCCAATCAAGTTCAGTTTAGATTGTGAGGTCTAGCTCCAACCAACAGAGGTCAGACACAGCAGTGAGGACCCAATACACAAAGGATAAATATGCCTGCCTTTCCTTTGTTCATTAGCTAACAAAAGCACCCTTTCTGCAGAAAGTAAAATTGCCTTGCTAAGAAAACTTTTTGTCTGAATGCTAATTTTTCCTTGCAGTACCTAGGAACAAGAATTTTATCTCCAACATGTATTAACACCAAAGTGTGGTTACAAACAACTTCAGTACCACCTGTGAACTTGTTAGAAATGCAAGATTTTGAGCCCCACCGCAGATCCACTGAATCAGAAACTCTAGGAATGTGGTCCAACAACCCATTTTACCAAGTCCTCTGGGTGATTCTGGTGCACATTATGGTTTGAGAACCATTGCTGTATATTAACAAGATGATAGAAAGAGATGAACCCAGGAGAAGGGGAAGCAGCTGACCTTTTACTGAGCTTCTCCAATGTCCCAGGCACCCTAGTAGGAGACTCATCAGCATCAGGGTATGAAGCCAAATCTATCTAACTCCAAAAACCATGTGTTCATTCCGTTTAGTCAAATTCCCTTCAAATATGTATGAAGTATCTCAATTGGACCAAGTGCTGCATATATGTTATTCTAGTTAATCTTTACACAGATATTAAGAAGTAGGTTATATTATTTCTATTTCACAGATGGAGAAGTTCAGACTTACAGAAGCTAAGTCGCTTTCTCATGTGGCATAGACAGTAAGTGGCATAGCTGGGTTGATACAAAGTCCATGTTCTCACGTTGCCTCCCTACACCAAACTGTTCCCTTAAATTTTAAAATCTTCTACCTTTGGTTGCCTTTCCTTACCTATTGCTAATCTGTTTTGCATGTTAGAGGATCTCATCTTTATCAACTGGCATCCTTCACCTGAACCACAGAACACAGGAAATGATTTGAATGATGATTCTCCCAATTCTCCTATGGGTAGCACTTAGCTAGTGCCAGGATAACTGTGTGGCAGTGGGAACTAATTCACTACATACAGTGGAAGCCTTGGGCATCAGGGCTCACCGCTTTCACAGAACCCCCATCAGGAAAGCCTATAAGACATCTGAGAAACTCTTCTTATTCACCCACCTGGCAATTCACTTTGCTGTCTTCTTTCCAAGTTTCTCTTTGAATATCTTCCTTTAGTCAGAAAATTTGGCAAGAGAACATATGGTGTAACTGAGAAGACATTGAGCCAGGCCTCAGGAGATTTAAACCAAACACCTCTGCTAGGCAGATGTGCCTCACTTGATAATTCATTTTCATTTCCTGTTTTTTTTTTTCCTCTTCACAGGGAAAATGTGGTCTGAATTAATCGATGTCGAGGACCACTCTGTCCAGTTCCAGCATGCTACTGTTTATGAAAAGAAATTAAGCACGGCTGTCAAATCCCCCTTCTTCATCCCAAAAAGGAATTGAAAAGGGAAATATAAGTAACTCATTATTATGTGCATGTATGTCTTATTTGAGACCCTTTGAATATTCCTCTCTGTGGTTTTCTTGGTAGTCAAAATTATTTCTTCAGATGTATTTTTGGAAGGAACTTAGTTCACAAAGTATTTTCATTTAGTACTCAAGCTAGGATAAAGAGCAAGGCTTGTGGTTATTCTAACCATTCTTAAGAAGTCTCTATGATGTCCCGAATCTAACCTACTGTGGCACGTAATGTTATTCAGTTCACTTCGATTCAACCAATGTTACTGTACACTATTTTATCATGTGCACATCCAGTAAACATTATATTAACTCAAAAGTTAGTTAGAAATTATATTCCAGTGGAGAAGTCTAATACTATGAATGACTAGGCCTGCTAATTCATGCTTGTAGAGGTTATGGTAGAATATTCTTTGTGAAAATTTCATTTTGAAGAAGTAGAGTCTATTTTTATTCTTGTCTGGAGTGCATAATATGAAGCTTTTCATATCTCTGAAGCTTTAAATTAGAAGCCATTTTGGGTTGGCTTTTTAAAAGTCTCTCCCAGAAGAAGAAGAGTAAAAAGTCTTGCCTTTTATAATCATGCATCATCTTTCAGTCTACATACATCTATCAAATTTTTAAAAAATTCATAAAGAAAATCTAAAATATACTACTCGAGCAAACTTAGGCAACTATTGCACATTTTTGTAGGAAATTAGATTAGTCAAAATAAGACTTAGAGAATGTTCGAAATCTCTATCAACTGGATTTTTTGTTGGCTAATCAGAGGAGGATTTAAATTACCAAAAGGAGGGGTGGAGAAGAAAGAATCTCCTAACACTTAACTGCCTGCAGCTGCTATTTTAGCATCCAGCCAATAAAGATTTATAAACAATCCATTCTTTGTTTCATGCTGAGGTCCTTCAGTATACAGAAATGAGGATACAATTTAGCATGGTTACTTTCAACATAGGACCACTGGACCCAAATCTACAGTTTATGCAAAACAAAGAATGCAAAAATAGAAGTATGAGGGAAAATTGGTATTAAGAATTGAATGATATGATCACTTATACCCATCCCCAGCCTAGCCAGCTTAATATTTACACACTAATAGATATTTCTGCTTAGGCATTTAATCTGTACAGAAATTAGGTCAATAAGAGCGTCAGTTTTCTTTTTTTTTGCAAATGTACAGATTTGCTGAAAGCATCCAAAACTCTCCCAAATAAATTTAGTGTTCTTCCTCTTTTTAAGAATTGGGAGGTATACACATGATTGAGTAACTTAGAGAGTTAGACTGTAAGACATGAATACAGAATGGGCACAGTGGCTCATGCCTGTAAACCCAGCACTTTGGGAGGCCAAAGTGAATGGATCTCTTGAGCCCAGGAGTTTGAGACCAGCCTGGACAATATGACCAAACCCTGTTTCTACCAAAAATACAAAATTAGCCTGGTGTGATGGCACACACCTTCAGTCTCAGCTGTTTGGGGGCCTGAGATGAGAGGATCACCTGAGCCTGAGGAGGCTGAAGCCACAGTGAGCCATGATCACACCACTGGCCTCCAGCCTGGGTGACAGGGTGGAATCCTGCCCCACGTACTCCCCAAAAAAGACATGAGTACTAAGCATATGTATGTCATATGTAGAGAGAGTGTTCTATTGTGATTAGGTAAAATTAACAACAATGTTTGTCTAGCATGTTGAAAATTAAAGGTAATTATACTTAGGCTAAAGACAGGTAGACATAATTATCTGTTAACATTAACATTAATCATTTGTAGTTTTTACTATTGCTATACATATAATCTATTTCTTCTAAAAATAGCAAATAATTTTGACACTCTTTTATTCATTCATTGATCCATTTAATACATGTTTGTTGAATACTTTGCATGTGCCATGCACCCTGATAGGCAAGGAGAATACAAGTAATAGGACAGTTAGGATCCCTGACCACTGCATCTCAGTGGGTGAAACAAACAGTAAACAAACAACTAAAACAAATGAGTTTAAAACTGATACTCAAAGGATAAGAAGGAGTCAGCCATATGACTCCTTCTGGGCAACCAGCAATGACAGGAGCCAATGTGACTGGAGTTAGATGAGGGAGGGAGGTACCAGAAGCCTGGCCATGGGGGATTTGTCTAATATGGGAAAAGATTTGGAATTTATTCTGATACAATGGAAGTCATTAAAAGGTTTTGAATCAAGAGAGTGACACGAGATCATTTTTGTTTAAAAATAATCATCGCACTGGGCTCAATGGCTCACGCCTCTAATCCCAACACTTTCGGAGGCTGAGCCAGGAGGATGGCTTGAGGTCAGAAGTTTGAGACCAGCTTGGCCAACATGGTGACACCCCATCTTTACAAAAAAATGCAAAAATTAGTCAGACGTGGTGGCACACACCTGTAATCCCAGCTACTTGGGAGGCTGAGACATGAGAATTGCTTGAGCCTACTAGGCAAAGGTTACAATGAGCCGAGATTCCTCCACTGCACTCCAGCCTGGGGACAGACTGAGCCTCTGTCTAAACAACAAAATAAAAAAATAATAATCATTGCTATGGCTTGCATGTGTTCCTTAAACTTTATGTGTTGGAAACTCCATCCCCAATGTGGCAGTGTTGGGATGTGGTGCCTGATGGAAAGCCTGGCCAACGTGGTGAAACTCCAACTCTGCTAAAAATACAAAAATCAGCCAGGTGTGATGGCGGGTGCCTGTAATCCCAGCTACGCCTGAGGCTGAGACAGGATAGGCTCTTGAAACTGGGAGGCGGAGTTTGCAGTAAGCTAAGATTGCGCCACTGTGCTCCAAACTGCGCAACATAGCAAGACTCCGTCTCAAAAAGAAAAAAAGTTCCATTTTGGATGAATTATCCAACTGGAGATAACAGTAGGCAGTTAGATATTCAAGTTTGAAGCTCAAAAGCAAAGTCTAGACAACTAGAGATAAAACTTGAGGAATTGTTCAGTATATAAATTATAGGTAAATTCATGTAAATAGAAGATATAATCTAGGGTCTTATAACAAAGAAGGAAGAAGGACCAGAACGAAATCCTAAGAAATCCCAACATTCATAGGTTGAGAGAGGAGGAACTAGGAAATTAGACCAAGAAGGTGAGATAGAAGAAATATAGAACAGTAGGATTTGTGAAGAAGAAGGTTTTAGGAAGGTGAGTGTTCAGTCAATTAATATTAAACGTGCTGAAAATTCTAATGTAGCAGATACAATTAGTACTGACTAGGCCAAATAAAAAATTTAAGCTTTTTATTCCCACTATCCATTATTTATAATCAATATTACTGTTAATAGCTTTCCCTGTTTTTATAGACTAATAAATTACCTGTGCCGTCATCACACTTACCCACATTCCTACATCTTCACACAGGTTTTGGACCTTGCAATAAGATTCTGTTGCTTCCTCTTTACTTGTCTTCTACAAAACACTAGTTCTCTGCTCTATTTGTGTGCCCTACCAGCCAATCTGTTCCTTATCTCAACCATGACCCCAAGTTTTCAGAATTTGAACCCCGTGGTTGTAGATTGCTTGGGGAGGAAGATGTCATGGCCATTTTTGACAACTAAAGAGACCTGGGAAGGTAAGAAACAGAGTAAGCTTTGTGGGGCCAGAGTGGGTGGATCACCTGCGGTCAGAAGTTTCAGACCAGCCTGGTCAACATGGCAAATCCCCATCTCTACTAAAAATACAAAAATTAGCCAGGCGTGGTGGTGGGTGCCTGTAATCCCAGCTACTTGGGAGGCTGAGGCATGAGAATCGCTTGAACCCAGGAAGTGGAAGTTGTAGTAAGCTAAGATTGTGCCACTGGGGGATAGAGCAAGACTCTGTCCTCCCCCACCCCCCCAAAAAAAAAAAAAAAAAAAAAAAAAAAAGAAAGAGGCTAAGGTTGGTGGCACAGAAAATGGACACAGGGCACACAACTCAGATAAACTTTGTATTTCAAGCTCCTTAGGACAATGAATGAGAGGGAAAAGGCGTGAGTGAAGGAAAGGGGCTGGCTGAGTTTCCTAAAACTATTTAAAGTAGGGTTTATCTTTTTAAGCCAACTAAAACTAAAGCTTAGTAATCAAGCCCAGTACACTGTGGACAAGAATCAGTTAAACAGCAACCCCCTGGAAAAACAGCACACCCAAATGTTGCTAGGGAACAGCTGGAGAGAGACCATTTTAGGGAATATTTCAGTCTAGAAGTTGTTCTCTCCCCACCACGGATTAGACAGGCCTGTAAAACTCCTTCCAGCACATCAGACAAGATAAAGAAAGTATTTTTACAGATGAAAAGAATGTGATACCTTCCTCTTTTGCAAGGATATGTGAAGTAGCATATGGATGGGGAGGAGGACTGGCACTTACAGAAACAGTTGATGAAACATTGAATGTTTATGTCTGAAATTTGAACAGCTGGTTCCAGACTGAGAATTCACATCTGTAACATGTCTGCTGCTAGACAGGAAAGTGATTACTCTTCCATGGATTAGCATGGGATGCAGAAGAAATCGAAAGATGCCACAAACCTGGAATGACCTTGGAGGAAGATGAGCTGAATAGGAGTCAAACAGCCGCACTCTCTTGACCATACCCTGCCAAGCGTTCCCTCAGTTTTTCAGTGAGAAGGAATAGGTATTGGATTCCAAAAATGGTAGGTAAAGAGTTCTAAAAAGGTAAAGTGCTGGAGCCAAAAGATTGGTGAATGAGGACAGAGAAGCAGACAGAGGAGCCGAAGATGCAAATGACAAACTTCAAAATTTCCTTCTTAACATAATTCTTATATGATGTTTTTTGCACATTTCCTTTGTTCTAGCTCCAAAGAGGTATGTAGGTCTTTTCAAATTTGAGATAATACTCACTACATATTTTCTCCTCCCTCATACAACCTGTCCCATAAATCTTCCAAGGTCAAGGAAACCTGAGATACTATGTCATGGAATACTTGATTCAGGGAAAAAATATGATTTATCACTACAGCTAGATGTTTATAATCCAGGCAGTCATGCTAAATATGT